TCAATGGTCTTAAGAGATCTTTTCCAGTTCAAACCATTCTATGGTTATAATAGCTTCCAGTAAACACAATTTCAAAACCAAAACTGCCCAGCACAACACTGAAAATTCCCTCTCCACCCAGACTGATGATTGGTATGGATTACTTAATTTATCTTAATTTTTTTTCCTTATTACTGTGCTATGAATACTACATAAACATATATTTCTGAAAACAAGGTCTGCAGTAGAAGAGTGATCGTCACCACCATTTGTTCTGCTTATGTTTTGGAGTTAACACCACAATGGCAAGATACCTCTCAATGACTAATGCACTACCACTTCGGAGCTTTATTGAGATTTTTTTCCCATATGCATTTTGTGCTTACTTTGATCACATTTTTAAAACTTCAGGAGAAAAAATGTTTTAAGATCAACCCCACAAAAAAACCCACATTACTGACTGGACTGTTTGTCTTATAAAAAATATTGACTATGAATGTAGGCTAAAGCGTGAAGATTTTCAGAACTATCGAATTATTACAGAACTAAAGGCATTGTGTAAAAATTCAACACGTGGACAAACAAGTTGAAATACTTCCTGAATGACAAAATTAAAAAATCAAACACAAAACCCTTTGTGCAATTATGTTTCTACATTAATATTTACTTGTATTCAGAAATGAAAGGAAACTTTGAAGTTTAGCATAAATATGTTATGGAAGCCATTTTAAATTTAAACAAAACCAAGTGCAACTTAACAGTGTGTCTTGTTCAGGAACTTCTGTGACATCTCCATGTCATCACCAGTGCAGCATCAGCTCCACTTTTGAACTGAGATGCCATGCAGCAAAAACCAGGTTAATTTTAAATGCTGGGGGCTTCCCTTGGTCTTTACCTCCAGCTGTGTTTTCCTTTCCCATGAAAATCCATGCAAAACTAGAATTATCTGATTTGATTGTATCTGTTCTCTTTACTATTTAAGTATTTTAACTATTTAGGTATTCTCTGAATTATATCCTACTTTTAGAGTAAGCTGTAAGGCTGCAGAAAATGCTGAGCAAAATTGCAGAGTATCCTTGATTCCAATACAGACTTGATAATCTTGAAGCTCTTTTACAACTTTAATGATTTCATGATTCCATAAGGCAATTAAAAGCAATACAGTGCCAATCCTATTCAAATGAAATTTGGGGTGAAAGAAGAGAACTCTTTTGTCAGTCTGGAGAGGGGAAGTTCCTCCTAAAAAGATACTATATGGACAGCAAATTTCAGCGAGTGTCCAGACAGCAGGAGGGAAGATGCAAACTAACAATACTCTCTCATTTGACTGACAACGTGTTTTCCATCTCTCAGGAGTTCTCCCTGGGACCTAAACTCCTCCCTCTCTCACCCGTGATCCATTTTTATCTGCTTCTGCCTTCTCCAGTCTAGGCAGTTCCTAATTCTGTGTTAGATGGACACTACCAGGCAGGTCTGAGAGAACTGCAGAGACTCTCTCAGTTCTTGCCTTCTTTTGCCAGCACCACCCTAGCGAGGGGCAACAGCTGAGGGAAATGTCCTGTATAGACACTGGATCCATGACTGGAACATCAATTCAAGTAAATTTAGTAGCTCAGCCCCCATGTCTCTACTTCCAGTGTATAAACTAAAGTCTTCTAGAACTTACAATGTGGTCAAGTTCAGGCTGGGTTATGCCAGAGAGTTACTACCCTCATTTATATAGGGAATAGCTAAAGCTTCCAACAAAAAGTTGTTCTAAGGATACCTAAAGACCTATTCAAAAATCAATGTCAGTTTCTCACCCTCATAAATTGCTGGATGTTATCAGAAACTAATGGAAGAGAAAGATCCCTTTCTCTTCCACTAAGAGAAACCCATTCAGCCTAAAGCAGCACGAAACCCCCCCAGCCCACTGGAATAGTTATGCCTTGGCCAAGCTGCAAGAGACGGGAAGCGGCTCTCGCCATGGAAAGGCCGGTTGGCAGAATGGGGGCAGCTCGTCAGGACCCTGGACAGCACCGCAGGGAGCCGGCCGTGCGCTCTTGGCAAGGGGGACACACAGGGATATTAAGAAGGAAGTGGGAAGTCCAGGGAATCACAGAATGGTTTGCATTGCAAGGGACCTTAAAGATCATTCAGTTCCAAGTGCCCCCTGCCATGGGCAGGGACACCTTCCACTATCCCAGGTTACTCAGAGCCCCATCCAGCCTGGCCTGGAACACTTCCAGGGATGGGGCAGCCACAGCTCTGGCACCCTGTACCAGGGCCCCACCACCCTCACAGGGAACAATTTCTTCCTAAAACGCATTCTTCTGCATTACTCCATAAATCCCCCCCATTTAATATAAAGAAGTCTACACCAAGAAGACAGGGATTTCAAAGTCAATACTACCCAACGACACAGCTCAGGCTTGGTACAAAATCTGAGGGTTATTTTGGGCAGAGCCTCACATTTTTAGCAGTTTCCCATTTGCAAATCAAGTGGACTTTTTTTTGATTCTCACTACATGAACGCTCACACCAACCTCAAAATACAGAGTGACTGTTAAATAAAGGTTGTGACAATGGCATTAACTGCATATGACTTTTTTGGGGGGGTTGTATTTAAAAATATATTTTACAAGCACTTAAGGCAAAAATAACTTAAATTATTAGAAGCATATTCAGAGCTTTGCAAACATTTCAGATTAGTTCTCACAACTTGCCAGAAAGCTCTTCCAGAATCTCTCCACTTATGATGAAAAACCAACTCCCTATTCTCTTTTAATAACAAATGGACCTTAAAAAAAAAAAAAAATCTGATCACTATTGTTTGAAAGCACTCGAAAGCAATAAGATGGTCACAAGACTTGATTTGCCTGTTCTGCCCCTTTACAAACTCACTAAAGCTTGCTTTTTATGACTGATTGCTGTGCTGTATTAATCCCCAAGCATATAAAACGAGTCTATTGGAGACCAGGACTCCACTGGGGGAGGACAGGGAAGCTGTTGTCTTCCGAGAATTAATCCATCCTGGAAAATCAAAAGCCAGCCACTCACAATACAGTAATCAGCATGTTCTCCACTATGAAAGCCCGATGTTTCCCTTTTAGAAAACACAACTATTACTCCATTATGTACTAAAACATACAAGACTCTTTTTATTTTTTTTGGTGTTTGTTATTATTTGGCTTATATTTATGGGTTCGTGTGTATTCCATTGGTGGGTATACAACCATCAAGTTAAAATAAACCCAACCTGTCTATTCCCCATTGCTTAAAAAGAAAAAGGGACTCCCACTGCTTTTTCCACAACTAAAGTTCTCTCTGGATTTGCTTTGTGAGCAGGATTTTAACTCTTTATCACCCTAAATAAAAGGAAATTCTTTGCATTTTTTTCCTTACAGAGAAAGCCCAGACAGTCCATTTTCTGTTCAGAATAATATAATTTTTTAAAATCACTTTGTTAAATTATCTAACATGAGTTTCCTAAGTAGGGCACTAAAATAAGAGTGAATTTTTCTAATTACCACATTAAGAACAACTTCACTTTATTTCAGATACTATCACATTTGATGATCCTTTGCTAGCAAAAGTTAGGTCTTCCTTTTTAAAGCTGAATGATGCAGCCTTCCAAATAACCCCTTTTTTCCCTTTTTTGTAAGAGTAGAGTTCTTTTTTTTTTCCATTTAAGTGCTAGAAGTATGAATCTTCCATTGTGTTATGGAGATAAAGATCAAAACCCTGACAAACCCAGCTCTAAATCTTATGTGACAGTAATGAAAATGCTAAATGAATTCTGGGCTAAACACAATAATTAAGACTTAAGGAAATCATTGAGAAGCCATGTGCTCAAGAAGAACCACAATCACATTTCCATTCAGTCAGCAAAGGTACCTACCTGCATATAACAGCACTTCAACACAATTTTTAACACCCAACAAAATATTCCTGTCAAATTATTTTTTAAAAACAAACAAATCAATTTGCTTATATTCATATTTACTCTTTGCTAAAGCAAAGAACACTCTTCTCCTCTACTTATTTAAAAAGTCAATAAAAGCAATAGGAGTTAGAGTCTTTGTCATTATTGCTCTTATCCCTTTTCAGACATAATTTATTTAATAAACAGCTGTAGACAGGAGTTTTGTATCCTTAACTTTAAAATCAACAGGTGTGTAAAATCCCACTGGGTCAATTCCATAGTCCCATCAGGTTGGCATGGCAGACATCAACATCCTTCTGTTAACTTGAAATGTCCTTAGTCCAGCTCTACTCACCATCAGATTTAAGCAGTACAATGTGTTTCTCAGAGTTCAAAGCAATGTGTACTTTTTTCCATTTTTAAACCAAAAATTCAACTGAAGGAGCAAAAGCTCATGCACATGGATGAATGTCTGTTACACATAATGTGGAGTTTAAGGACATGAACTTGCCTTTCTATTTAAGAATGGGATTAAATGTCAACAAGAACATGAACATGCTAATTTTTCTGAGACCTCTGAGTTAGATGTGGCTGAAGATAATCCAACTACAGTAACCATACAGAAGTACCAGCAGTATTAAGCTATAATTCCTGTTTTGCTTGTGCAGGGACGGTAACATTTTTTGGCTTCCAGGGCAAAGCTATGGCACACACAGAGTTAACTGTGCCCTCCTCCCCCTGCCCCCCAGCTTCACCCCCCTTCTCCCCCATCTCATTCATGCCACATTCCACAGTGGCAGGGTCCAACAACAATATAGGAGGGTACCCAAAATGAAGAGGCAGGGCCTTCTATTCTTCTGCCTCTCTTGAATTAATTAACTGGAAATGAGTTTTGTCAATGTTTTGGAAAGGCAGAGGGGTGAAAAGAAACTGCTAGAATTAATCACAGTGAGAAACTACCTCTTCAGCAGTCTGCCAAAGTTCAGAAAACCCATGAGAAGTGCAAAATAAAAGGAAAGTGGGCTGACTTACTCTCCAAAGGAACAAATAAAATTCAAACAAACACCCAAGTCTCCAAAACAGAGACATGCCCCAGTGCAAAGGAATGCAGCATCTGTTGCCACAACAGCTTCAGCTTTGGTTTTAATATACTTGTCATGAAGACTGATAGGTATCAAGGTAGAAAAGAGAGTTTACTAATACTTATATAGACAAAAGGCACGTTGTATTTAATTCACTAAATATTTAAGTACATCCAACTTTGATGCTTATATAAATAGAGATATTTAGGTCCCATGATTGAAAATTACTAACTTTGCTTGTTTAGCCCTGACTCAGCACAGACCTTTTACATGAAGAAGGCAACCTGCAAAGGAGCTCTTTCTTTCTGTAGTTTTTAAAATGACAGTTATCTCCAGGTTCAGCAAAGGAAATTATAACAAGTCGATACTGCACGTATGACATTCTTCTACTGATGAAAAAAGAAGTAATGAAATTCCAACCAACTGACAAGAAGGACCTTGTTTCACAAGCTGATTTATCCAGGTACATAGAAAATACACAGGTGACCTTTTGTTTACAGCAAAGGGAGGAAGAGGCATCATCTGGCAGTTTTTCTAAGAACAAACACAACAATTTCAACAGATCTGAAAAAAACTGGCTGCTGAGAAAGGGAAAATATTTTATAAGAGAAATACATTTTTAGTGATTTGACTACTGCTAATATTTTTGCTCAGGAGGGCTTTTTCCTGACTGACCGCAGAATTAACTTGTCATCTCGTTGCTGTATCTCCAAGCCCATCCTCTCGAGGGCAGAGCTGTCTGCCAGCCCCTTCTGCTCCATCTGTGCAATCAGTGCCTGGTTCCGCTCGTTCTGTTCAGTGAGATTCCGGATCGCATAAATTGCCCACTGGCTCACAACTGTTGGGCAGAGTTAAGGATTATGTATTTATTCAAAGATGAAACATTGCTTGTTTTGATTTATTACTGCATCCACCTCCCCCAGCCCTCCCCCAATCCCTTAAACTCAGAAAACTAGTAGAAGTCTAGGTTTTGAAAAAGTAAGACGTTTACAAGTGCTGACACCGAACCTGCAAATACTTGCATATGAGGCAATTTAATTTTAAAAGATGTATGCCCCTAAACTTCAGGCAAATTTACTAGGGTTTATGTTGAGTCAAAAAAACCCCAGGCAAACAAAAAACCCCAACCAAATGAACTGCAGGAATTAAAAGACATACTGTTTTAAACCAAAATTACAGTCAATTGAAATGTTCCAATGATCTTCCTAGTGAATTTAAGTAAAAAATATGTCAGTTCTTTATGATTTGAATATTTCGACATTACACTTCCAAGCACAGACAAATAACATAAGCTGTACAACATGCACAGGAAAGGTTATTATTATTTTCACTGCAAAAGTTGAAGACATCTAGAAAAAGACAACCAGGTTAATATCTGAAAATAGCACAAATAATGTCGAAGACACTTAAACTTCTTGAGCATCTTATAATACCTAAACTCAGTCCTTTATGCCTGGGTGCTTTTACACACTTGCCAGGAGACCAGACACTATGATCACTGGCAGGGAGCTCCTGCTGATGTTTAAATGGGCACAAGCTGCAACTCATTCACCTCCCAAGGTGGTCCCTGGAGGCCAGGATTGAGGCACATGTCAGGGATGCAGACAAAGGATTTAAATTCCCAGGATTATCAGCCAGGCATCTTCCAAGCAAACTACAGTGTTCATTTTATGAAGTGTCAGAGATGTTGGTCCCAATTCTGCAGCTGAAAAGTTGTTATGATATAATCTTTCCCAAGTTACCCATACAGGAGCCAAGCCTTTCTGAATCACATGAGTGGTTTGCCTGCAGGGCACCAATTATTTACTACATGTAGCTTCACATCCAGTAGAAGAATATGCATAATTTACTCATCTCCTTGACGTCTTTTGGGTTGGAGAGTATCTAAGCACAGAGATAAATGTTCTTGTGGGCATTTGCCAGGGGGTGACAGGAGGGGAAAACTCAGACAGAGGGGAACTTCAGACAAAACAACAGAAGAGAGGAACTGGACTTAAATAATCTTACACAACCTCAACAGAGAGAAGGGTTTAGATGAAGAGTAACTTGGACACAAACAGAAGGGAACAGCCCTAGATTGGCATGTGTCAGTAAAACAGCCTTTGTGTAGCAGTTTATATTTATTTTCAAATTCAGGAAGTCCAGAATTGAAAATCAAAAATAATAAAGTGTTAACTACTATGGCGCCTCTTTTTTTTTTTTCCTGACAGACCTCTTAAGACTTTGTCAGGAAACATGCTGCACATTTTCTTAATTCAAAAAAATTCCAGCGTGAGGTAATGACAGAGGAGAGAAATTAAGATCAAAACAAATTATGCATCACATCAAAGCCTTAACAGGTGAATACAACAGAGAATATCAATATATTCTCTTCTGTCAGTACATCACTACTAGAATTAAGTAAAAAGACAAGTGCCAAGCTACATGTAAGTTGCATAAACTTGGTTTTTAAACTGAAGATTACACTTGAGTATATAAAACAGTAAGATGCTGAAGTAATAAAATCATATATGTGCAGACTCTCACTCATTAGCACCAATGGTGAGAACAGATTTCAGACCAGCAAAGCATGCAAGCTGGTGACTGGAGATAAACCAAGGCTGACACCCAGCAGCTCTTTTCCAGGTCTGATTTAGGGCATGTCACGAGTGCCAAAAAGTAACATGAAGTTCTCCCAGTGGACTATAAAAAACATCCTACCACCCTCCTGGCTTGGCTCCTGGGATGAGAAACAGACTTTTCTTTTTGTGTTCCTAAAATATGGCTTCTGCATAAAATACGGCACTTGCATAAAAGCATATTTTCTACAATATTAACAGCAATTTTCAGAGAGTGACAGCTCTCAATCACATAAAAATGCCACACAGACAAAAAACGTACTGTCAAAACTTTTGTGTGTATTAGCCTTGAGAATGATCCTGCTAGTATAGTCTTTATGTCCTTGAACACAAACTCGCTGCTAAACCCCATGGCAAATGCTCTTTTCCTATTACCAGATCCATTCATGCTTACATAATATCTAAGACATTCCCATTATCTTATGAACTCTATCACCATTGTGGCATTTATCATTACTGACTACTGTAGCTGAAGCTGCAAAATGGTTTCAATAACATTTTCACTCCTTCAGAAACCCCTTTCTGTGTGGAGGTTTTCCATTGTGACCACACCATGAATATTCATGATCCCCTTGTTCGAATGCTGGGGAAGGATGAGGCCTTTGGACAGCTGGGAGCAGACCCTGGCAGACTTGAGTGTCTGCAGAGATTAAAGCCAGTCCCCAGCTAATACTCACATTACCCTCTCGCTCCTCTCCAAAGACAGAGACACAGAGAGAAAATTAAACATATTCGAGAGTCTCTAATCCTACCTACACTTTAGGCACTTTATTGTATGCTCAGCTTTAGAAAGAGAGCTTCTAAAGTTGCCATAGTTACTACAAATACGAGCGTGAGCCTGTTTGTTGTGAAACTGCACCAAAGAGAAGCAACACAGCAAGCACAGTCGATCTGATTGCACAGACTCGTCTAGAATTTTCCAACTGGGCATATTAAACTCTCAAATAAATTAATATTATAGAATCGTGAAGATTATGGTATTCTGTCACAGGGAAAATGGCATACAAAAGGAAGAAAACAAATCATTTTATTTTGCAAAAGCCTCATGACTAGACTATCTGTGCTTAGGGACTGAAAACAAACATTTCAATGCATTTATAGCAACACTTTTCCAAAAGCCTTCAGTACTGTATACTTTGTGATTCCCATGCTATTTTGACATATACAAATAACAAAATTGAATCAACTTGCCCTGTCTTCCATCCTTAAACAACATCCTCATTCCACAATTTAAAATTTAAAATCGTCTTCTGGGTCATAACTTTTATTATGGGGAGAGGGGAACACAAAGAGAAGGGAAAAAAGGTGAAGAAAACTGTCCCTTAAGGATGAAAAAATGTTACTATCTGTAAGCCATGGAAATGTATGCCACTAAATCCTGTTTAAGTTCTGCCACTGACTGCAAAGGGAACTTTTCACAATTCTCCCAGTTCTTTTCACTTGGATTCTGCTGTAAGAGGTTGCTGGAGTCAATGCAAGAGCACAGTGACTGGTTTGTAAGCTTAATGGGGTGTGAAAATACAACGATGTCCTGCCAGGAACCACTAACCAATACTGCTGGAGAGGACATACAGACCATTTCTCAGAGAGAGCATTCCACCTTCTCATTCTTAGTCCAATTGGAACTTAACATTATTGACAAGCCCACTGCAGCCACCAGGACCCCAATGAATTGTTCTATGAAGCAATTTGGATTCTATGGATGACGGAGAACAGAAAAAATTATTAATGAGGTTAGAAGCTGATGAAGTAGATAAAAGGCAATGCACAAGTAATCTTGGAAGTATGTTGTATGTTTCTTGAAAAAGGCAAGTTTTAGAAGCCAATTATTATCATTAACTAATACAAGATACTGAAGAGATGACAAGGAGAATGAAATACGCACATCTGTTTTCCTAAGTCATAGTTATTAATACTGAAGGATCTCTAAATATAACATTCTTATTGGAGAGTTTGATTTATTACAGAGTGTAGGGACTTCTCTTTTTTTAAATTAGACTGTTTCCTGCACTACAGTCAGTTCTCTATAACTAAATTATTACTTATGAACTTTCTTCCTTATGAGTAAGTAGGTCTTATTCAAAAGAGGGTTATCTTACCCAATCCCATTACCTCATTTAAATCAAAATTTTTATTATTTGAATAGCAACTACATTCTAATCAAATACAGGAAGAAATACAGAGCTTTATTAAGTTGGAACCCTTGTCAGATTGGAATCCTTGTCAAATGGGTTGTTTATGCAATCCATTTCTTAAAGCCACTCATTTTTTCTAAGAGCTATGCTGAAACAGGTCTGTAGGACTAAAACGCAAAGATAATGAAAAGACAATATTTGTATTGTACAATAATTATATTTCTTTCTGGCCTTCAACAAGTAATCCAATTATCACTAGAACATCTGCAGACTGGAATGAAATACTGAAGCATCACTTAGAGTCACTTCCACTTTCCACTGACCGGATGGCACTGAAAAGACATAAATCATTTTTCTTTACAGTCTTTCAGTCCTTTCAAGCACTTTTGTTTCACAGCACCTTGAAGATAATTCCTCCCACCACTAAAGGAGGTCTCTATACAACCACACAGGTGTTCCTCGGAGTTTGGAGCTGTGAGGGACCACATCAGACAGTCGGGACTTTGGCCCCTCACCACCAGCTAAGCTGCTTACAAAGCTCTACAAGTTTCTTTCTGTTGGGGGTTTTAGTAGTTTAATGAAGTTCTAGAAGCTGTATAAAGTCAGAGCAATTCCTTACAATTCCTCTGTATTTTTATGTGACTTCAACCTGTGATTAAGACATTACCAAAAATTAATAACAGAAAATGAACGAATTAAAAGTTTCATCTTAATTTACTTATTTTCAAGAAGCTAATTTATATTTTTAGGATTAATGCTTTAGACTCTGTTTATACTTGGCATTGCATTACTAGCACCAGAAAACATCAGGAATTCATCCTATACAAACTTAAAATATTTTGCCTAGAAGACAGGAGAAAAAAAGTCTAGAATATTTCAGTTGCCTGTATTTTCACTTATTTCACAGCTGTTCTTATCACCTATGACTGCAGTGACCACATTCTGGGTTTAAAAGCTAGAAATGGGCAGTACTGTATAAGCTGGGAATGTCCCTTCCTGCCTGCTCTGCTGGACTTTGCTCTTACAGAGCTGACACAGCACAACCCATCCAGTCTACAAGCCTCTAAAACACAGAGGCACCACTG